GCCGGCTCTGCAGGGCGGGCTCAGTGGGGCCGCACCTCAAGGGCTGACTCTTGGCCTTTAGGGGCCACGCACCCTCTCTTCTCGTGCAGGCCTGTGCGCGGGAAGGCGGGGCTCGGAGACGTGCTCTGTGCGCGAGTGGGGGGACTTGGAGGCTCAGGTGCTGGCTCCCAGGAATGCGGTTCACGCCCGGGGCTGCGGCTGGGCGGTGAGGTTGGGGGAGGAAGAGCAGAGTCATTCCTTAGAGTTTCCTGGGTTGGGCCCGGCTTTGCCTTCAGTTTCTTTGTGTGTGTTTTTTGTTTGTTTTGTTTTTTTATGTCACTTACCTAGATATTACAACTACAGGGTGTCCCCCCAAAAATGTATACACATGTTGAATAATTATTAATTCCAATGGGTTAAATACAAAAAGAAAGAAACATCAATTGAGCTATAAAAATTGTATGTGGCCGAAACCGGTTTGGCTCAGTGGACAGAGCGTCGGCCTGCGGACTGAAAGGTCCCAGGTTCGATTCCGGTCAAGGGCATATACCTGGGTTGCGGGCACATCCCCAGTAGGAGATGTGCAGGAGGCAGCTGATCGATGTTTCTCTTTCATCGATGTTTCTAACTCTCTATCTCTCTCCCTTCCTCTCTGTAAAAAATCAATAAAATATATTTTTTTAAAAAATTGTATGTGTATACATTTGGGGGGGTACCCCCTAATGATGTTGTTTTAAATGTAATTGGTTCTTTTCTGCTTTTTTTTTTTTAAGCCCAACGCATAGTAGAGAAAAAGGGGGGTCCCTGGTCTCCCCACCAGTCTAAACTGTTTTTCCTTGAATATACTTACATGCTATTTTACAGACATGGGAATATACCCGTGCCATCCACAATCAGCTAGGTGGCCACATTCTCCAGTTCTGTGGCTGCTCTGTGTGGACAGCCCTGGGCTGACCCCTCCCCTGGGCCCAGCTGCTGCTGCAGACCAGCTTCACTGAGGTGGTTTAACCTGGTGAGACCCTGAAGAGACAGGGCTGTGGGGCCTTTTACAGTTGGAGGGACTTGTTCTTTGGCGTCAGTGTTCGTATAGTTGTGTGTGTGTGTGTGTGTGTGTGTGTGTGTGTGTGTGTGTGTGTGTGTGTTTAGAGAGAGAGAGGGGAAGGGAGGGAGGGAGAGAAACAACAATTTGTTGTTTCACTTATTTATGCATTCGTTGGTTGATTCTTGTACATGCCCTGACATACATTCTTGTATGTGCCCTTACCAGGGATCGAACCTTGGCATCTAGGGCTGATGTTCTAACCAACCGAGCTACCCGGACAGGGCCTTGGTATAGCTTGTTTTTAATTCAGTCGGAAATCTCATCTCAGCATGAGGATTGCAGATGTTTCACAGTGAGGTTCCAGCTCTAGTCTTCAAACACATCAGATAACATGGGCTGGAATGCAGCAGCTGCTTCCAGATCTTTCCAGGAAGAGTGACTTCATGTGACTTTAATAGGGCATGTTCCTGTCTGTAGGGAAATCTGGAATCTGTGGAGTCAGCCTGGGGACAAAACACTGAGGCCTGGGTTTGAATTCTGGTCTAGCCAATCTCCACTTCTCGGGTGAGTGACTCCAGCAAAAGACTCCACTTCTCCAGCTCTTATTTTCTTACCTGGATGGAACATGGGAGTTTAGAGGGACTTAAAGAAAACTGACCTCATGTGGCTGTTGTGTGTATTAAATGAAATGTTAGCATAGCTTGGCATTCATGGCTAGCCGTGATTAACTCTTATTTCCTCTTACTCTCCTTACAGCCCATTTTCTAACCCTGAAATGCTCTCCACCCTGACCCCCTGCCCCAGTGGTCGGCAAACTGCGGCTCGCGAGCCACATGCGGCTCTTTGGCCCCTTGAGTGTGGCTCTTCCACAAAATACCGACTTCTGCACATGGGCCACGAAGTTTCAATCGCACTGTACGTGCGCGCCCACGCATGGCCAGTTTGGCTCAGTGGAAAGAGCATTGGCCTGCGGACTGAAGGGTCCCAAGTTCAATGCAGGTCAAAGGCATGTACCTCAGTTGCAGGCTCAAACCCCAGCCCCGGTCAGGGCACATGTGGGAGGCAACCAATAGGGTGTCTCTCTCACATTGATGTTTCTCTCTGTCTCTCCCCCTCCTTCCACTCTCTTTAAAAATCAATGGAAAAATATCCTCAGGTGAGGATTTGTAGTGTGTACCTTCTTGACTTCGTGCAGGAAAGATTTCACATTACAAGTCCGGGTGATTTTTAGAGGATATTTATTGAAGCTGGAGACAGTGAAACAAGGAAGGGCCTAGGATAGAAGAAACAACAGGAGAGGGACCAGGCTGGGCTGCTTTGTAAGAAGTCAGAGAAAAGGGTCTTTGGGGACAGGTTCAGGGGGTTAGCCCTGGATGAGCTGCCGCTGCCCACTGCTCCCTGATTGCAAGCCTTGTGGGGTCCCTTAGAGTTTAGAAGATGCGTGTCTGTGGGGAAGAAGAGGGGGGAGGGAAAGGCACAGGCATGCTCCTGGGAGGAAGAGCCCACGCTGGGATCTTTGTTTTCTCAGGGGGTTTAAAGGCTGAAAGTTTAGGGGAGGATCTCAATAGAATATTCACCCGTTTTATGCTGAGGTGCCAAAATGAGATTTATTCCCTTAACTTCTTCTGTCCTTGGATGTGGCTGGCAAATGGCACTAATTGGATTTCTGCTATATATCTCCCTGAAAAGCACGATTTAAGCTATTTATTCTCTGGTTAAGGAGAAGTGTAAACCATTTACTCATTTTGTTTGTTTGTTTTTACAAAATGAAAACAATTTCGATTATTTTGGTACACTCTTATTTGTGATTTGTTTCCACTCTGCTGTCATGTGTGTGCCAGGTGAAAACTACAAAAGAAATAACTGATTATTAGGCAGGAAAAAGGAGCCAGAAAAAAATCCAGTCATCAACAGATGTTTTCATAAGTGTCCTTGGTTACAGAAGATAGGATTTTGCGATTTGCTAGATGGCTGTTAACTGCTTGGCTGTTTAACTCTCTGTCTCAGTGTCCCTATTCCCCTCGTCCTGGCTTATTAGCCTGTCTCAGAACTTCCTGCACCGCTGTGTGGATGGATGTTTTTGTACTCTCTAATACGCCCTTGCTTTGAGCAAACATCCTGCTCCTTTGCCCCCCAAATCCTGCTTGGTTCATGGGTTCATGTGAGTTTGATGAACCTGGCCCTACCAATTAGAGCAGCGGTTCTCAACCTGTGGGTCGCGACCCCTTTGGCGATCAAACGACCCTTTCACAGGGGTCGCCTAAGACCATCCTGCATATCAGATATTTACATTACGATTCATAACAGTAGCAACATTACAGTTATGAAGTAGCAACGAAAATAATTTTATGGTTGGGTCACAACATGAGGAACTGTATTTAAAGGGCCAGAAGGTTGAGAACCACTGAATTAGAGGCTTCCATGCCGCTGGCCATGATTGGTTCAGGGCAGGGTAGTCATGGAAGACACTAACCCAACAGCCAGGTACAGCCTTCCTTCTCCCTTGCTTCCAATGTAGACGCTGGACAGTCTAATACGCTCCCTGCCTCTCACCTCGGGGAGGCCAGGTAACTTAGTTCTGACAAGGAATTAAAAGGATGGCTTCTGAGAAAATACTTTTCTTTCTGAGAAAAGTGGAAAAAGCACATGTGGCAAGAAAATGAGATCTCCCTACAGCCATGGGAGGCAGCCAGTGGGTCAGCAGCCCCAGTCACGGCCTTGAGATGACTGCAGGCCTGGTCAGTATCCTGAGGAAAGTCTCCTGAGAAACACCGAACCCAAATCACTCAGCTTAGTTGCTCCTGAATTCCTGACCCACAGAAGTTATGAGATTTTAAAAATCTGTATTGCCCTAACTGGTTTGGCTCAGTGGATAGAGCATCGGTCTGTGGACTGAAAGGTCCCAGGTTTGATTCTGATCAAGGGGATGTACCTTGGTTGCGGGCACATCCCCAGTAGGAGGTGTTCAGGAGGCAGCTGATCAATGTTTCTCTCTCACGATGTTTCTGACTCTCCCTCTCCCTTTCTCTCTGTAAAAAATCAATAAGATATATTTTTTTAAATAAATAAATAAATAATCTGTATTTTTTTAAGCTGCTAACTTATACAATATTTGGTTAGCAGCAATAGATCTCTAATACTGAAGCATCCATCTTATATAAAAACTGCTGTTTGAAATGCTAACCCTGCTATTTCTGGCTTCTGTAAATGCTTGCTGGCTTAAATAATAAGGAAAATAAGACTACTCCCATTTCAGAGAGGCCATAAACCTTCTCCAGACGAAGTTATCAGTGCTGGCTTCAGGCCAAGCCTTTAAGAACTTGCAAAGGGAACCGGAAAAACCCCATATTTGGGAGACAAAAAAAGGTAAAATAGTATAAATACAGGAAACTTCCTGTGTGATTTTGCCCAGAATTTGAGAGACATTTTCCTCTGGGCCCGCGCATAATAATAATAAATGTAACTCCATCTCTCTAAGCGTTGCTTGCTTCTTCTCCGGTTTTCTGTAACATTATATTCAGATAAATTCCACATGTGGAGTGGATGATGGGCAGGGGATTCAACCCTTATCTCTGACCCACCAGAGACACTCCATTCCTCACCCCCACGCCCCCTCACTGTGCTGCCCTCCGCCTGCTTTGGAATCTCCTGCCAAGGCTTTCCCTGAGTCTTCAGTGCTACACATGATGATTCCACCTGGACCCGTGCTGAAAGAGTACTGAGGAACATCCAGGTAAAATAATACAAAACTTCACCGGATGCAATTCACTTCAAAAGCGTCATAGCAAGTGGTACAGTAATTATCCACTTTGGCCTGCGATTTATTTTCCTGTTTATATAGAATGTCCCTCTTAAGAACAGCTTTGCTAATAAAAGGGATAAACTTTTCATTAATTCTTTAACATATTTAACAAGTTCTTTAAGCAATGGAGTACTTCAGTAACACTGTTTGCTTTTCTTTCATTTTGTGAGGTCTTATTGCTAAATTGATATTGAAAGATGAACAAGAAATAAGTAGACTTTATCCAATGTAGTATTTCAAAAGTCAACCAGAACTTTGGGATCCTTTTCTTTAGAATTAAAGTATAATGTCAGTATTTCATATAAATGGAGGATTCTCTTAATGACATTTTTTACTGATTTGAGAGAGGGAAAGAGAGAAAGATTGATTTGTTTCACTTATTTATGTATTCATTGGTTGATTTTTTTTTTTTTCAGCAAGAGAGGAAGGGAAAGGGAGAGAGAGAGAGAAACACCAACCTGAGAGAGAAACATCGATCAGTTGCCTCCCTTACCTACCCTGACTGGGGATCGAACCCACAACCTGGATATGTGCCCTGACCTGGAATCAAACCTGCAACCTTTCAATGTCTGGGTCGATGCTCCAACCAACTGAACCACACTGATCAGGGCATAGTTGATTCTTGTATGTGCCCTGATCCGGGATTGAACCCGCAATCGTGGTATATTGGGATGATGCCCTAACCAACTGAGCTACCGGGCCAGAGCCGATGACATTTGTTAAAGAGAGTCAATGGCCTTTGAATATGAGGGAAATGAAGAATACTGAACACCACCAAAACCACCAAAATCCTTACATTGCTCAGTTAGAACAGTGTAAATGCTGAAGTAGGAGAACAGTTTCATGACAGTTACTTCAGTCTCAAGAGAAAAGATAGCAGATGTGGAGAGCGGCTACAGTGTTTGGACAGGTTCAAGCCTTGGACTAATGAGAGAGCACAGTCCTCTCATGGACACGTGCAAGTGCTAGCTTGGAGGGCAGAGCCCTCCCAGCACAATTATAGCCAACAGCTATAGTGTAAGCTAGAACCTATGGTCCAAACACGTGGCCCCAAGTGTCTGAGTAATATGGGCTTGATAGAGTTCAGGTGTATGTAGTTGAATAGAATCGAAACCCACGAGAATGTTGTAAACATCTTGACCACGCCCTTACTTTGCCTCGTGGAATCTGGCTATAAAATAAAGACACAGCTTGTAGTCCGTGGCGCTGTCGCTAGCTCTCCATCAAAGAGGCTCTCCATCAGAGAGGACGGCGTCCCACCCAGACCCAGCTTTTATTCTCTTGTCTGTCCTTTCTTAATCCTTCACCACCGCCTCTCAGGCTCACCGAACCTGGCTGAGCTGGCACGGCACATAAGGTGCCCTGGGGCTGAGTATGCCATGGCTGTGCTGGCTCGCCACAATCAGATACTATTGAGCAGCATTATGCAGAATGTAGGCAGAACAAGCAACACCTTCCATAGTTATCCATGCTTTGCTTCAACTTTGAATGAACATTGTACCCTTATGCAGACATTCATCAAAAGTTGTATTATCGCCGAACCGGTTTGGCTCAGTGGATGGAGCGTCAGCCTGCAGACTCAGGGGTCCCGGGTTTGATTCCGGTCGGGGGCGTGAGCCCTGGTTGCGGGCACATCCCCAGTGGGGGGCGTGCAGGAGGCAGCTGATCGATCTCTCTCATCAATGTTTCTGGCTCTCTGTCCCTCTCCTTTCTTCTCTGTAAAAAAATCAATAAAATATATTTTTTTAAAAAGTATTATCTCCAACTAAGTAGTAAAAAATTTCAAATTAACTCTTTTTTATATATGCAAACTGCATATATTTAATGTGTAATTGGATTAAGTTTGGGCATATGCATACATCTGTGAACCGTCACCACAATCAAGATAGACATACATCATCTCCAAAAGTGTTTTGTGTCCTTTTGTTTTTGGCGTGTGTTTATCATTAACAAGTAATAACAGAGTTTCTGCAAAAATTTGCTACTGTTTCTGAAGTTTCATCTGGAAAAAATTCTACTCCCAATAGCCTCATAAGCAAACGTTTTTCATAAGAAAAATATTGCACAGCCCAGCCGGTGTGGTTCAGTGGTTGAGCATCGACCTATGAGTCAGGAGGTCACATGCAGAGTTGCCAGCTCAATCCCCAGTGGGGAGCATGCAGGAAGCAGCCAATCACTGTTTCTCTCTCATCATTGATGTTTCTATCTCTGTGTCCTTCCTCTCTGAGATCGATAAAAATATATTATAAAAAAAGACAAAGAAAAATACTGCACAAAGGAAGAGTTGTTTCTGCATTGTGATTACCTGCATTGTGGCTATGCCATAAAAAGGTGAGACATTTAGATCTTTGATAATCTTTGTAATAATAAATGGAGCTATTACGTTTTTGAAAATGTGCTTGCAATTTTGGAGCCAGAAAACACTTCTGGTAGTAGTACATTCAAATAGTTATTTTATTTTAATATATTGTTACTGATTTCAGAGAGGAAAGGAGAGGAATAGAGAGATAGAAACATCAGTGATGAGAGAGAATCATTGGTTGGTTGCCTCCTGTACGCCCCCCACTGGGGACTGAGCCTGCATCCTGGACATGTGCCCTGACTGGGAACCAAACTGTGACCTCCTGGTTCATAAGTCAACGCTCAACCACTGAGCCACACCAGCTGAGCCAAACAGTTATTTGAGCTGAAAGACTGAGGATGATATAGAGTGGGGAAGTCCATTACATTTCTGCTACAATTATTTTATATTCTTAATCTGAATTTCTCTTCATCCAAAAAAGTGTTAGGTTATCACTTTTCTTAGAACTTCTTGAGGAACTCATGCATCCTTTATGCTTAACTCATGCATCGTATGCTGGTTTATATCTGATTTTCCATCTTTTACGTTAAATGAACAATTGCATACTATAGAAAGCTTCAAATGGAATTTTTCCTCATTTAATGTTCGCTGCTCAGAAAATTCAGCATGAAATTTTTGCTTGCTTTTTAGTATTTGGGCTTCAAATATACACTAAATATATAATAGAAACCACTGAAAGGATCAAAGAGATTGAATTTGATAATCTCACAATGGCAACAGTGCATCTATCACAAGTCTGAACTCATAATTGTTGAAAGGGCTCCAAATTCATTAAATTGAACTTGACATCTGATGCAAAGAAGGTGAACTTCCTGTTTGTCTGAAAGCGAGAACTGTACTTTTAAGGCAAAGTCTCCCCCACAAAGCCAGAACTGGTTTAAGGCAATGTTTGGGGAAGCCTGGGCCCGGCGCAGGGGCTGGTGGACTTTCAGAAGTATTTAAGGGATGTAAGGCCTTTCAGCTGTGTTAGTGCAGCTCTGGAGCAAGGCTGCCTTTAACTGGCTGACTTCAAGCACAGTCCTGGAGTGAGGCACTTGCTGATTGGCTGTGTCTAGATGTGGGGGCTGTCACTGATTGGCTGACTGTCAGAAACTAGGTTCTGCCATGGATTTGCTCACTTTCAGAAGCATTAACTAGGGTGAGAGTATTGCTGATTGGCTGATTTTCAGAACAAAAACCGTAAGTTATTTCTTATTAACTAAGGGTGGTTACTGTTCAGAACTTGGCCAAAGAACAGTGTTTTCCTTTCTTGAATATGAAAGTAAGTCCCTTTAATTCCCATTCTCCCCTTTTGTACTTCCCTTCGCCAAACCCGAAGGAAACCATAAGGAATCGTGTAGGTCAGCGGTTCTCAACATGTGGGTCGCGACCCCTTTGGGGGTCGAACGACCCTTTCACAGGGGTCGCCTAAGACCATCGGAAAACACATATATAATTACATATTGTTTTTGTGATTAATCACTATGCTTTAATTATGTTCAATTTGTAACAATGAAAATACATCCTGCATATCAGATATTTACATTACGATTCATAACAGTAGCAAAATTACAGTTATGAAGTAGCAACAAAAATAAGTTTATGGTTGGGGGTCACCACAACATGAGGAACTGTATTAACTAGGTTCTGCCATGGATTTGCTCACTTTCAGAAGCATTAACTAGGGTGAGAGTATTG